TGCTGCTTCCCCGTTCTTTTAGTTCCAAAGAAAGATGGCTCTTGGCGCATGTGTGTTGATTGTCGTGCTATCAATGCTATAATCTGCTCGATATTGCCATCCCATTCCACGACTTGATGACATGTTAGATGAATTGAGTGGTTCCATCATTTTCACCAAGATTGATTTATGTAGTGGCTATCATCAAATCCGCATGAAACTTGGTGATGAATGGAAAACAGCGTTTAAAACTAAAATTGGTCTCTATGAATGGCTTGTGATGCCATTTGGCTTGACAAATGCTCCTTCAACTTTTATGCGCTTAATGAACCATGTTTTACTGAGCTTTCATTGGCAAGTTTGTAGTTGTTTATTTTGATGATATTCTGATCTATAGCAAATCATTTGATGAACATCTTGATCATATCCGCCAAGTACTTGCTGTTTTGAGGGAAGAGAATTGTATGGCAACATTGCTAAGTGCACCTTTTGCACATACCATGTTGTTTTCCTTGGCTTTGTTGTTTCCGAGATGGTATTCAGGTTGATGAAGAGAAGGTTAAAGCAATACAGGATTGGCCTACACCGTAAATGTGAGCCAAATTCAAGCTTTCATGGTCTTGCAAGTTTCTATAGGCGTTTTGTCAAAAATTTCAGCACCCTCGCTGCACCCCCTTAACAATCTCACAAAGAAGGATGTTCCATTCACGTGGGGCCATGACGAAGACCAAGCATTTCACACACCGAAAACACAGCTTTGTGAAGCACCGCTACAACTTCCCGATTTTGGTAAGACATTTGAGATCGAATGTGATGCAAGTGGTATTGGCATAGGAGGTGTATCTTTGCAAGAAGGTAAACCTGTTGCCTACTTTTCCGAAAAGCTAAATGGTCCACATCTGAATTACTCGGTTTATGACAAAGAGCTTTATGCCTTAGTTCGCGTTTTGGAAGTTTGGCACCATTACTTGTTACCTAAAGAATTTGTAATTCATTCTGATCATGAAGCATTGAAATATCTTAAAAGCCAAGGCAAGCTGAACCGTCGACATGCTAAATGGATTGAGTTCATTGAAACGTTTCCCTATGTTGTCAAACATAAGCGTGGTAAAGATAACATTGTTGCCGATGCCTTGTCTAGAAGATGTGCATTGATTACACAACTAGATACAAAAGTGCTTGGTTTGGAATCCATTAAAACACTTTATCTTTGTTGATGCTGATTTTAACGAACCTTTCTCTCGTTGCATTGATGGAAAAGGTTGGGATAAATATTATGTGCATGATGGCTTCTTGTTTGGACTAACAAAATATGCATTCCAGCTTGTTCGATTCGTCAAGTTCTTTTGCGGAAGCACATGCGGTGGACTGGCTGGTCATTTTGGTGTCAAAAGACATTGGACATGCTCTCTCGATCATTTCTTTTGGCCACATATGCGACGTGATGTCCAGCGCACGCTATGTCTTTGCATCGTTTGCTTGAAAGCTAAGTCCCGCCTCAATCCCCATGGTTTATATACTCCATTACCTATTCCACATGTACCTTGGGAAGATATATCTATGGACTTTGTTCAGGGGTTACCTCGGTCTCGTGAGGGGAGGGATTCTATTTATGTTGTTGTAGATCGCTTTTCTAAAATGGCACATTTTATCCCATGTCATAAGAGCGATGATGCTTCACACATTGCTGATTTGTTTTTTCGGGAGATCGTTTGTTTACATGGAGTTCCAAAGACTATTGTTTCGCATCGGGATACAAAATTTCTCAGCTACTTTTGGAAGACATTGTGGGCTAAGCTTGGCACAAAGTTGTTATTTTCAACCACTTGTCATCCACAAACAGATGGGCAAATGCGAAGTTGTCAACCGTACCTTGTCAACCATGTTATGCGTCTTGTGTTGAAAAAGAATCAAGCTCGGGAAGACTGTCTTCCCACATGTTGAATTTGCTTATAACAGGCAGTCCCATTCTACAACAAACTCTTGTCCATTTGAAATTGTTTATGGGTTTAAACCGCATACTCCCATGGATCTTTTGCCTTTACCATTACAGAACAAGTTAACTTGGATGCTACGAAAAGATCGACTTTTATCAAGCGAAGTTACATGTGGAGACAAGAAAGAATATTGAGAAGAAATCCGCACAATATGCAAAGCAAGCAAACAAAGGTAAGAAGAAGGTTACATTCCAGCCGGAGATCTTGTATGGTTGCATCTACGCAAGGATCGCTTTCCCCAACAACAGAAGAGTAAGTTATCCCCTAGGGGTGATGGTCCGCTCAAGGTTCTCCAACGGATAAATGATAATGCTTACAAACTTGAGCTGCCACTGAATATTCCAATGTGAGTACCACATTCAATGTCAAAGACTTGCTTCCATTTCTGGTGAGCTCGAGTCGAGGACGACTCCTTCCCAAGAGGGGGAGGCTAATGAAGACATTCCTAGCATTCACTCATCTCTAAATGAAGCTACACTTGATATAGCTGGTCCAATTACAAGGAGTAGAGCTAAACAATTGGAGAAGGAAATTCATTCTCAGGTGAACGCTAACCTTATGCTTAATAATCAGATTACATTGAATGAACCTATGCTTTTGAGTACTTGTTTCAATGTTCTTAGGAATGATGGAGTGCACGAACAAGCATGGGATGATGATGGATTCTGCCCGCCAAATATATGCATGGAACTAAAAGTACTCGCCTCTCGAAGCATCGTAAGTTCTAACACCATGTTCAAACATATCTAACAAGTGAAAATGATTGCATTCTCTATTGGAAGGGGAATGTGGATCTGAATTCGTGTCCAAAATGTAAGGTTTCACGATGGAAATCAGAAAGGAAGAGTTTAGATGGGAAATGTGTTCATAAGGTTCCTAGGAAGGTTCTTCGTTACTTTCCTATAAAGAAACAACTCAAAAGGTTACTTTTGTCCTCAAAAACAGCAAGGCTAACAAGATGGCACAATGAAGACCGGAAAAAGGATGGTCTACTAAGGCATCCTGCAGATTCACCTCTATGGGAAGCCTTTGATAAAAAGCATCCACAGTTTGCTGCAGATAGCCAAAACATACGTCTAGCATTCGCCACTGATGGTTTTAATCCATTTAGAACCATGAATGTTAGCTATAGTGTTTGGCCTGGTATTTGTATTCCCTTCAACTTTCCACCTTCAATGTGCATGAAGCAATCAAATTTCATCCTATCTTATCTGATTCCTGGTAGAAATGCTCCTGGTAGTGATATGGATCTCTATTGTCAGCCACTTATTTATGACTTGTTAGATATGTTTGAACATGGTGTTAGAACTTATGATGCTTCGAGAGGCGAGTACTTTTAGTTGCGGGTAGCAGTATTGTGGACTATTACTAATTTCCCTGGTCTAGGATATGTGTCCGGATCTATCACATCTGGTGAAGCTGCATGTCCAGATTGTCACTTCTTTACAGATTCACTTAGACTTGGTAATGGTATGAAGACTTGCTATATGGGTCATAGAAGATTCTTGCATGAAAATCACCCATCTAGGTTTGATGCCAATAAATTTGGTGGTACAACTGAGTTTAGGCCAGCACCTAAACCACTTTTTGGAGAGGAAATTTTGGAGTGCACTAAAGATCTTAGTAATAGTTTTGTCAAGGATCCATCTGGAAAGAAACCAACTAGGAAGAGACGTAAGGAAGGGGAGCCCTTAGTAATTTACAAAAGGAGATCTATTTGGTTCTTACTTCCATATTGGAAAGATTTGATGTTGCATCATAATTTTGATTTCATGCACATAGGAAAAAATGTGAGTGAAAGCCTACTTAATACATTCATGGGCACAGATGGGAAGTCTAAGGATAATCTAAATTCTCGCCTCGACCTTCAAGCTCTAGGTATTAGAATTGATCTTCACCCTATTGACGTGGATGACCAAATGTATTTACCAGCCGCACCATACTCAATGAGTTCGGATGAGAAAAAATTATTTTGTCAAATACTAAAAGGGGTCAAGTTTCCTGATGGTTATGCATCTGATATATGACATAATATATATGTTAATGAGAAAAAGATATTTTGACTAAAGAGTCAGGAGAGCCATATTATTCTACAACACTTGCTGCCACTTGCTGTGAGAAGGATATTGCCTGAAATGGTCAGTGCTGCAGTCATTCGTATAAGTAAAATTTTCAAAAAACTTAGCTCACCTATCATTCGAATAAGTGATATGGAAAGTCTAGAGGCTGATATAGCTGAAACCTTGAGCCTTCTTGAGACTATATTTCTTCCTTCCTTTTTCGATATTATGGTACACTTGATGGTACATCTTCCTGCTCAAGCAAGAATAGCTGGTCTAGTTCATTTTCGCAGCATGTGCCCTGTAGAGAGGTAATCTTTTTAGACATCTAAATATTGTAACATAGTTGAAGGTTTAAGTACCTACTATTTTTATAACATTGTCAATGTGCCTTTTGTTTTTATATAGATATCTAATGCGATTAAAGGGTTTTGTTCATACAAAAAGTCGCCCTGAGGGATCAATTATGGAGTGGTCTATGTTTACTGAGTGCCTTACACTTTGTTCTCGCTATCTACATGGTGCAAATCAATTGAACCATCAAATTATAAATCATGAAGATTGTAGCACAACTCCTTTCTTCCATAACATTGGTCGATGATTGGCTGGAAAGTGTGCAGTGAGTATAGATCACAAGACATGGCTACAAGCTCATAGATATGTTCTATTCAACTATGTTGATATAGGACCTTACTTGGAGTAAGACATCTCAATTATTTAACATTTCATTTGATCAATTTCCATCGCCTGCTCAACTAATAAAATAACACATTCACAGCAAGCATGCTCAATATCTATCCTCAATTGGTGTTCAAAATAAACGAGACATCAACCGCATGCATCATTCATCCTTTCATGAGTGGTTCAGGTTGCATGTAAGTAAGAAGAAATCTCAGTAAATGTAATTTTACATGGATTTCACATTTAGGTTAATTGCAGGTTTTTATGAATACAGGTGGAAGAAATGGGTGAGGAAGCAACATATGAGATTAAAATTTTGGCAAAGGAGCCAACGATGACTGCACATAAGTATAGTAGCTTTAACATTAATGGATTTAATTTTCACACAAGATCCTATGATGAGGGTAGAGTTGTTCAAAATAGTGGGGTTGCTGTAGTTGCATAGTCAACAAGTTTTGAGAGGGGCAATAATGATAACACTATAATAGGAAAAAAAAGGTCTATTATGGTATTCTAAAGGAAATTCTTGAACTAAACTATCATCAAAAAGGAAATCTGGTGCTATTCATGTGTGATTGGGTTGATAACAGGGTGCAGGACAAATGGGTACAAACTGATCAATTTGGGATCACAAGTGTCAACTTTAAGCATTTATTCAATACAGGTGAAAAGATATCAGATGAGCCTTTCATTTTAGCCTCACAAGCACTTCAAGTTTACTATGTTCCTGATCAAGTCAGCGAGAGTAACTGGGCTGCTGCTGTTCAGTCAAAACCTATTGATGTGTATGACTTGGATAATTTGGATAATGAACACATTGATGGTGATAATGGATTGATTATGTCATTTCCTGATCTAAACGACAATGTGACTGTGGATATTATTAATGGGGTTGTCCCTTCTGTTAGAAGGGACATAGATGGTATAATTGTTGACAAAAAATCTAAAAAGGGGTCCAAAAAGTAAGTCTTGTTTAAATAATGTGGTGATTTATTTGACCGTAAAAGGTTGCTGATTTGTTTTTCAGTTTTCAGGAGAAAAAATGGCAAGCGCTAGAAGAAATAATGAGGATGCTCCCCTCACCGAGATGGAACTGGAAAGGAATGCAAACATTGCAAGAAACAAAGAGATGCTAGCGAGCCTGATCCCTCCCAGGCCAGAAGTGCAGCATGGTCAAGCTAAGAAAAGAACAAAGGTTCTATAGAAAGATTGTTACTAGTGTTTGAATATTAAATGACAAGTACTTATGCTATCATGTTACTTGTAGAGAACTCATCACACAAGTGCTGCTGCAACTGAACACCATAATTTGTGCTCAAGGCCAGAAAGAAATTATGTTGAGAGTGCAATAAACGAGCGGATTGACGAAGATCTGGATTGTGGATCAATTGGAGACTTTTTATGTGACAACGAAGGTATTATACCATGTCTTCTATCTTGTTATTGCAACAATATAATATCTTGTCATTTGAGCTATTTCTCATGATTAAAATTGCTTGTAACGGATGCTCACGCTAGTCCACACAAGAAAAGGAATGGGAGGAGTATCACTAGAATGGAGGCTGTATTTGCAAGGACACCTGACATGCCGAAAATCATAATTACCCTTAATGAATATGGTCAGCCTGTAGGGAAGAATTATAGGCAACTTTCTAGTGTTATTGGTTGCCTGGTGAGGAAGAAAATATCAGTTCGTTGTTCTAATTGGAGGCTTATTGATGCTGAAGAAAAGGATGCAGTTTGGGATGAAGTACAGGTAAATTTATGCTAGAATAGTATGCTGTTTTTTATTGATGCTAAAAAATAACTCAATCAAATGTCAGTTTATTTATGCTAGAACAGTATGTTGTTTTTACACAACAATCATCTAGATTATATTATAGAACATGTGGTATGGTTATCTGCTAGAACAGTATGTTGTTTTCTTGTGTAAAACTGATTTTGTACTTTTCCATAAAAAACAGAAATTCTATGATATAGATGATGCTGATAAGAATTGGTTTTTAATCACCGCTGTAAGGAAGTGGAAGGAATTTAAGGCAACCCTAAAGGAGTAGTATTTTGATGAGAACTTAACAGATGAGGAATTGAAGAAAAGACATGGTGATAGAGTTAATGATGAGGATCGGAACTTTCTTGTAAATTATTGGAAGTCTCCTGAATGTGATGTATGGCTAATCTTATTATATACATACGTAACTTGTATTGTTCAATATCTTTGCATAATGTAACAATTTCTATCTTAGGTTCAGACGCAAATTGCCAAAGCGAACCGTGCTAAGTTGGAGATACATCATACAGCAGGCACTAAGAGTTTTTCTTGTTCTGGACATGAAATGGTACATACTACATAGAACTATAATTACTTATTTCCCATTGTGTCTTATATAGGTTGTTCTTGAGATGGTGCATTCATGTCTCATATGGTGTACAGGAAATAGAAGGCATCTTTCATGGTACTGTGTGCAATTTCTTGGAGATTTTTCTCCGATATTATGTACAATTATTCCAGACATAAAAACTTGAAATGACGAGAGTAATACCAAACCAAGCAAACATGTTTTATTGCATTGTCATCAAACACACGGGTGGATTATTCATTAAACTAGTAGCTATCTATTCATTTGGGCAGCAGCACTCCCCTGGAGGCCCAACACTTTTACAGTAGGCCTTATCGCTCCTGTGGTGTTCGTGCTCGCATAACCTGCGGCACCCATCCGCATTACACGGGTACTGTGAGCCTCCGGCATGGAAGCACGGCATCCCTGGTTTTGGCTTGGGAGCAGGGGTGTCCTCCGTGCCTACACACATGCATGCGACCAACACAAGAAGTATTAAGCAAAATCATGTCTTAAAGATGATGCAAAGTAAAGTAAAACAAGGGTTTGTGCCTACCGATTGCACCAACGCAATATATGGATGTGGAAGATATGACTCCAAGAACCAAGAAAACAGCGATGATTGTGCTCTTGATGATGAGTGCCATGGGGAAAAGCTGTGAAACTTGCTTCTTGAGAGGAGGGTAATCTATATTTCTTCTTTATGCTGAAAGCTAAAACACTTGTAGGTTGATGAACTTGGACGCCCTCCTCGAAGGGATGAACTCTATATCAAAACTCATACAAGAAAAAATGGTGTTGCAATAAGGAATGCAGAACCAATAATTGTAAGTTATTCATGTATGATTGCTGAATTATAGTATGTAATCTTTATGGAGTGCAAATATTGACATTTCATTTATGTAGAGCAAACTTAAAGCAACTGTTGAGGCCCGTCCAGAGTTGACAGAAAGAACAATTCAACAAGGTGATGTATTTTCTGCTGCTTTGGGTTCAAAGGAGCCAAGAGGCCATGTGCGAGCTTTAGGTCTAGGACCTACTCCTCAAGATGGTTGTATAGCAGGACTAAAGTGTTACACACCTACAAGATTTCAAATGGAAGTTTTGGCCCGTAAAAAGGCTGAAAGTAGGAGTGAAGCTCTAGAACAGCGCCTGACACAAATGGAAGCGCAAATGCAAATGATGGAGAAAAGGTTTGCACAGGAAAGGCGAAATATAGAAGTAATGTCACAGAATGGTTCTAATTCACAATGTGTGGTATATACTACTATAACAATACATCAGCTAGTTGTTTGGTCTCTTAATACCTTGTGCAGATTTATCGCATTATCTCTTCCATTTTGTTTGTAGAGCCCAAGATCTGCAGAACATGTTCATGAGGCATATCATGATGCTCATTTTCAAGAAGATGAAGCTTATGAAGATAATGAGAGCAATGATGCCATTGGTGTGGGTGAAAACTTGCTTGTGGATAGGCGTACTGCAGCCCCAACTATGCAAAGCCCTTCCAATGCCGCCCTTGTAATGCAGCCCCGTGCAGCCCCATCCTCTCAATGCAGCCCTACCAATCTATTCCCAGCAATGCAGCCCAATGTAGCCTCACAAGTCCAGTCTCGTCAGTGTAGCCTCACCAATGCAGCCCCTACAATGTAGCCCCATGCAGCCTAGCCATCACAGCCTCAAACAGCTAAACCAGCACAACCCCAGGCAGCCAAACCAGCACAGACTAGGTAGCCAAAGCAGAACAGCCCCAGGCAGCCAAACCGGCACAGGCGATGAATGTAAATGCCCCTCACTCTCATTCACATGAAGAACATGTAATGCTCTCATCCATGCTACAAAGTTTCTTATCATAATTGTATTATTTGCTTTATCATTAATTCAATTCTCATAGATGCATTACTTGATTCAGATTGGATGGGATGTGATATTATATGAAGTAGTCAGATCTGATACAGCTGTGGCTAGGGGAACAATTATTTCAGTAAATCCTAAAACCACTCTTGGAGGTGTAGCTCTTGGAAAGCATTATTGTGAAGATGTGATCAAAAGGGATGCAATTCTGCCTCGCCCTTATACTAGTGTGGAGAAGATGGCTGACGCTCTTAAGTTGCCGATTGCATGGCCATACAATAGAGTAATAAACTGTCCTAGTCATTGTTTCCTGTTTTCTCATATGTGATTAGTGATCAGACTTCTAACTATTGATATTTGTGATTGATGAAGGTTAGCAAGGCATCAACAACCAATCACGGGCCCGCTAGCTCTCAGGGCCCCTCGGGCCTGGTGCCCATGGACACTTCTACTCGAACAATACCCATCGAGGGGACCTGGCTCCACAGAACTCAGCAAGTGCCTTAGGCGCCGTTCGGTTAGGCCATTCCTGGCCGTTCCAGGACAGGAACAATTCCAAACTAGTACAAATTATCGAAGAGACCGATCGACTGGGAATCAATTCCCTGCAAACGAACGAAGCCTTAAGTGTTAACCCCGAAAGTTTCATGCATGGACCATCTAATCACTAGCTGGTTTGTATGCGTACGTTTCTTTTGCTTACGAATTGAGATGGGGACTTGTATATTTATTCATGAATTATATGCAACCAAAGCGCTTAAACTTGAAATGCGTATTCTCTCCGTCCCAAAATAAGTGTTGTTTTAGGTTTCGTACAGGCCAAACTTTTCAAATTTGGCTAGATTTATAAAAACATTAGATATCTCCAAATAAGTTTATTATAAAAATATGCTTCATAATTAATCTAATGATATTTATTATAAATTATAAATATTAATAATTTTTATATATTTAGTCAAAATTAAAAATATTTGGCTTTTTAAAAACTAAGATGACACTTACTCCCAAATCCTCAAATGCCTATAAAAGCGGACGAGAGGGGGCATTTTAGAATGGAACGAGTACCGTCGTGTCAATGTCAGTGCTGAGACGAGGTAGTAGCAATGTGAAATGAAATAGAAAAAGGACATGGCCAACCTTCCGCCAGGTGAAAAGAAACAGAAGAGCTATGTGAAATGAAATAAATAAAAGAAAAGGAAAATAGACATGTCCAACCTTCTGCACCGGGACTCGATCTGGGAAGGAGAGGAAGACCTCGGCTTCCCATGGGACGTGGCTACGGCTCTGGACACGTGCCATCACTTGACGGCGCTTTAATTGCCGATGTCATCGTATCGGATTTTGGATGGCCGATAGGTATCTAAATTTGCAAGTATTTGACTATAGTACTTAGATCTGTAATTATTTATTTCAATAATATTATTTTGAAAAAAAAATCTTCTGAATGTTTCTGTATGTTCATCACGTTTCTACGATCAAATAAAACAAGGTGAACTTTTTGAGCTCTCCATATTTACTGTTCTTGCGTGTTTGTGCTTTTTTGCGATGAAAGAAGAATTATACTAGATAATATATAGCCGGGTACATCAACACATTACAAGCACTCTGGATTACACAAATATTCATAAACTGATTTTCATCTAAATTGTATCCACGCTGTGAATAGCTCCAGATCTCAAAACCAAATCTGTACGACGCTTTGCAGCATGGATGACCGCACAGGTAAACACTTGACAAAAGGCCTGAGAACAGATGACCAACGAAGAACGGCCAACATTCATGTAGGCGGAGTTGAGAAACTTCTTCTTTCTGGTGTCTTCCCTTCTCTTTTTTCTGCCACCGAAGAATGAAAAAGAATAATATGAAACTTATTCTTGCTAGTCCTTCATCGTGGTCAGATCTAACTACAATAAAATAGAGAAGAGACCGGAGAAAATTATTCCAAGGCGGTAACACCATCTCTGCCTTGATGTCGTCGTCCGGAAATAAAAGTCTCCATGTCGTCATACCGCCAGTGAGGATGTTGATGCCGTAGTTGTCGCCCCCATCTTCAACAGAGCTGCCATGGAGAAAACGATTACACTCTACCATCTCGCCATCACCAGAAAGGAGGAGAAGATAAATCCCCAAAACCAAGAAACTTGGCATGGAGAGACTCTAACTCTAAGGACTCAATCTACTAAAAAACTTATTAAAAACGATGTATCCCCACTCCCTTTGGCCCCCGACGATATGCTGGAGGGAGGAGGGAGGGGGGCCAGCGGTGGTGAAGGCGGAGGAGCTGCGGCCACTACTGGAAACAACGAGTTTTCGAGTTTGAATTCCTAGGAAAAAGGCCCAAAACCGTAGGGAACCTGATCCCCTATGGTATTTTGTAGGGAAAAATTCGTAGGGAACACTTCAACGGGAAATAAGAGAGTGCCCTACGGTTTTACCTAGAAACTATAGCAGATTCTTGTTTCCCTAGGAAAATAGCACCCTAGGGAACCTGCTGACTATACTGAAGCTAATCCAGCATGTAAAGTTCTTTTCCCTAGAACTTTGGCATTCCTAGGGAACTAATCCTAGGTGGAAAGTTCCATTCCCTAGGAAATTGATCTCTAGGGAAATATTTCTGCATGACATTTGATTTGGCCTCAAATAATTGTAATTTAATTCAAATGCAAATTTCAAATCAAAACTCGTTGACACCGTACCATCAGCAATAATTTAGTGCATTCAAACTCAAACAGTGCATTATCACATTACAATTAGGGTGTTCACTAATAATAACTGCAAAGTCTAGCTAACAGTTAAACACTAACTCAAAAGGAGTTGTCCAATCTGTTTTGGCAACACAACATAGGTGCCATGTTTTGGCGACAGACCATAAGTGCCATGTTTTGGCAACAAAAGATGTTAGAAAAATGGAAACTCGTCCATAGGAGGAGAGTAGTTGCCGCCACCACTTGTAGTCGCTGCATTTTCATGGCCACGGAATCTTCCCTGAGCAATCCTACTCAATGTTTCATCAGGAGTTAATTTCTATTTCAATAGAAGAGCCACCAGTACAAGCCTATTCAATTAAACAAATAGAATTTCAATTAAATAAGTGTAAATTTCATGGGAAATGCTATGCCAAAAACAGGTTCAAGGACGTAGCATTTGAAAATAGGTTTCACTAGACTAGCTAAGATGTGTACAACAATTAACATTAATAAAAGACAAAAGGCAGCAGACCATGTAATGGAAATTGAAAATCAGGATGCATTCATGTGTACAGGAGATATAGGCCCTGTTCGTTTGTCTTATAATCCATACTTTTCGACTTGTCTTTTCAGTCGGAACAATGTTTTTCTTTTACAACAAATCAGCTGAAACAGTGTTTCAGCTTGTTTTTTCAGCGAAGCGAACGGGACCATAGATGCTATGGCAGACATTTCTATTTGTCAGCATGGTATGATCAAACTTACATTGTCAGAAGACGGATTTAAAGACAACAAACAGAAATAGTAATAATCAAACAGAAATACACAGGAGACGGATTTAAAGATGCTACATCAGTATAATCAGAAATACATAGTATGATCAAACTTAGGACTGATAGAAAACCGTAGGGAACAACGAAAACCGTAGGGAAACTCCAGTAGTGGGCGGCGGTGGCGGCGCCCCTGCTCGCAAGTCGCGTGGGGTTCGCGAGATTGAGCTCGTGCCTTTGTGTGTTTTGTGCTGTGATCATCAATCAGTGCTGAAGTCTCTGAGACAGCATGTGCGCTGTCGTGTATGAAAAGGATTGGATCGATAGATATGGTAGGATAATTAATATAACATGTAAGTCTTCAGCTATCGTTTTTTATGGTTGCTCAAGATCCAAGTATGAACCCCTGTATGTATATACTGTACAAGGGACCTGGCTCTTCGGACTTCGAGGTCACATAACTGTGACTGTTTCACTAGCATGTGGTGGCCCTAGCTAGCTCCATTGGGTCGTTCATTACAAAACCTTCCAATTGTGCAGCATCTTCGTCGGGCTGGGCACCCATAGGCCATAGTTTTGTGTTATGTCATAGAGTAATTTCTAGTCTGCTTTATTAAATCAGAGTAGGAAATAATGCATGAACAGTGTTATGCCAGGGCTAAGTCTAACAACCCTCCTGCTTCATGCACTGTTTCTTGAAGAAGACCCATTTGATCGAAATGACTAATTCCAACTTTTGTTGGTTGGTATATTTAATTGTTACCACTCCACTAATAACCGAGAAAAGCAATTGCAAAGTTACTGTACTGTTTTTTTTTTTCTTCACTCCTTTTTTTTTGGTCCTGCAAAACCACGAACGAGACACAGGTGCCGCTGTTTTGAGAAGCCATTCTTATTAGGTGCAGGAGTTCTCATCATCAATAGTCAGGAACCGCAAACAAGTAGCCGTTTTTTTCGGTAATGCTGGGTATAGGGCGTCCGTCCGCCCGAACGGTGTCGATGGTGGGTCGCGATGCAGCCAGACGACCGCCTCTTATCTCCTCATCCACTCACCCCCAACGGTTCTAAAAAAAAGAAAAAACTCACCTCACCGCAGTGCCGCGATAGCTCTCCGCAACCGCGCTCCGCCACGCCGCCTCTACGACGGCGCTCTCCACTGTGCTTCCCTCTCCACCACGCCTCCCTCTCCGTCGCGCCTCCACTCCGCCGGTCGACATCTCCTCTACACCAGAGCACGGCAACCCATCTTCCTCCCTCTCCACCGCGCATCCCACCCGTCGCGGCCTTCTTCAGCGCGCGGACCCACCGCAGCCTTCTCCACGGGACCTGTCGCTGCCTTCTC